ACTAATGCCAAGAAAGCACGCGAGTCACATGCAGGCGTACTTGAATTTGTAGCGGATGAAGGAAAATGCTATATACCTTACTGGATGATGGATAATTTAATATTAGAAGAAGGAGACACTTTAACAGTAGAGAATGTTTCGTTGCCGGTAGCGACTTTTTCAAAATTTCAACCACACAGTACTGATTTTCTAGACATAACTAATCCAAAAGCTGTACTTGAGAATGCTTTGCGTAATTTTGCTTGTTTAACAGCTGGAGATGTAATTGCTATTAAATATAATAAAAAGATATATGAACTTTGCGTATTGGAGACTCGTCCTGGCAATGCGGTCACTATAATTGAGTGTGATATGAATGTAAGTATATATAGTAATACTGTACTGTATATATAATACTATAAACTTTGTACTAAAAATATTATCTGCAATAAATAAAAATGTAGGTTGAGTTTGAAGCTCCTGTTGGATATAAGGAGCCAAGTAAACCAAGAGATGAACAACCCCAGGAGGTAACTCAAGATAATGTAATGGAAGAAGTTGTAGAAACCTTTCAAGGTTCTGGTGTACGCTTAGATGGAAAACAAAAGAAAGAGAGTCAGTTAAATAATCCAGTCATCAGGAAGGTACTGTTAATAAGTTGAGCAAAAACATAATCTTAATATTACATACTGTCCAATATTGTAGATATTGCCACGCGGGGTTCCAGATTATGACTTCAAATTTGGATCTTTAAAATTTGATCGTTCAGTAAAACCCATAAGTGAAAGGGTTGCCAAAAGTGAGGAAGAAGACATGGAATCAAATAGTTTTCAAGGAGAAGGATTTAGCATGAAAAAATCTCGAAAATAATTCTAAATCTATAAAATACTTTAAAAAATAATTATATATTTGTCTATAAATTATTTATTAAACCATTTTTAAAATAATTTTAACGATTTATCATTTTTAAAGTTGAAGTGTTAATTTAATAGTTTGTTCAGGCTTTTTCGGTGGTGGGGGAGCCTTTGACATAGGCGGCAGCGGTCGTATTTTACGACCATGTTTACCAGTTTTACGTTGCCATAGACCTGATCGGGGACGATAACCCAACTGGCGGAGACGTTGCGGGCTGCCAATGTGCTCTTTATTAAATTCAACATTTGACACTCGCCCTAAAAAATAATAATAGACATTTGAATATCTACGTTGTCAGTTATTTAGTTCTGAGAACTTACCAACAGTGGCCATGCACGTTCTGTCAAATGCAAACTCTCGTTTGGAGGGCAACTGAACCACAACTTTATCTTCAAATTTGCGCAAAATAGTGCCATATGTGCCTGCAGCCAATATCCAATGCATAGGATGCCCTGGATTCTTTTCTAGACAATGTATGCGTGTGCCCAATGGCAGAGCACCAAGTGGATAAGCATCTCCTTCATTTGGTCGCACTAAAAAACAACACAATTATTGTTATAATAAATGTTATATAATATGCTTTTTAACCTGGGATTCTTGGTATAAAACGTGATGTTTTTATTATATCACCAGCTTTCATATTTTCAGTTGCAATTATATACTTCAATTCGTCTCCAACTCCAACTAGTGCCAATTTTGCAGTACGGCAACCATCATCAATAATTTCCACAACACGTTCAGATCGCGGTGGACCTTCTGTGGGGCCGTCACGCACCCATTTTACCCAATGATAGTTATGCTTCTCACCGCCTCCTATACCTTTAGCTACAACTCGCCCTGATACAGGATCTCTACCAGCTAAATGCGTTATTTTTAAAGGTTCTACGGTGTATTCATCTTTATAATGCACAATACGTCGGTATTGTACACTATTACCAGGCTTCGGCTTTACAACTTCTTTGCATTTATATCGAAGCTGAATCGCTGCTACACTTGGCTTTAATGTTTGAAGTTGATTATTAATAACACATTTGCTTAATAAACGTGTTAAATTATTCATATTTCTAATTTAATAAATTTTTTATTTTATTTGGTGCCTAAAACTAAAAGCAGATGTTAGCGGAGAAGAAGTAAAAGAAAATGTCAAAATCATATTGTTTACATTGTATTCATGGAAAGTATGTTTATTGATTCGGTGCGGCAAATAAATTAAATTTAAAAGTAGGAACTTTAATTTTATTAAAATTGCCCATTTTTAAATTGAAAGGACATAAAGCATTAAATTTAAAAAAAATCACAAGCTTAATTAAAGTTTTGTCAATTACTTGCAAAAGCATTATAAAATTTGACAAAAATGTTAAAATTGTAGATTAAATAAAAAGTAGATTTATATATTAAAATTATTTATTTCAACTTTTTATTTCATTCATTAATTTTATGAAAAATTCTTTAACTTCAGTATTTTGCATCAAAGCTCGCTTCTTAACACTTAGCACCATGTTAAGCACATCAGGATATTTATCCTTGTCACGTCCCGTTGTTTTTGTATCTGCATCATTTATTTCATCGTCATCATAAATTCCTCCAGCGCCAACATTTGCAGTCTCTTCACTTACGATTGCGCTATTTTTGCTTTTATGCCGCTTATTTTTTCTTCCCTCTTCATCTGTTGATGTTTTTGTGTTTACTTTTTCTGATCGTTTTTGATATGGTCGTTTTGTTTTTGGTTCCTTTTGTTTTTCATTTTGCTTATTAGTGTTGGTGTCTAAAGCAATTTCATCTGTAGTTGCATTTAAACGTCTTTTAACATGTAAATGCAATCGTTCCTTAATGTTATTTTGTGGTGATTTCTCTGGTGACGAAGGGTGTTCAATTTTAATTTTTTGTAAATTTTCTGGTATCTCCATTATGCGTTAACAGAATATTATGTGTGTACATATGTATTATCAAAAAATGCTGCCAACTCATTTATTATATTTTTTCAGTAAAACTAAAAAAAGGGTAGAAGGAAATAAAAAAATAAATTTTACAAATGAATACATTATATGTGACTGCTGGTTCAGTATGATATATGCATTTACTCCAATTATAATTAATTATGAAATTTTTTATGTTTAATATATTTATTATTATTAAATTAACTTTATAACATTTATATAGTATATCTTTATACAAATTTTTTTTTTTTGTAAATATATATATATATGTATGTATGCAATATTTGTATTATTAATCAGTTTAAAATTTGTTTACATTGTATATTTATAATAAATTTTTATTAACAAAATTACCTTTGCCTTTATTATTAAGTATAAGAGAAAAAGAGACGAAATAGTATGATTAATATCGACATTTCGTTTATATAAATTGTTGTTATGTAAAGTACTTTTTAAATATTAATTGCCTGGCAACTCTGGCCTGTTATTATTCTATATTCCTTTTGTAATTATTATTCATTATTCATTTTTAGTATAGTTAATAAAGCGAAGTAAAGAACATGTTAAAAATACATCGGACCGTGTTTCACTTTTGCTAAAAATATATAATAGGTTATGGGCCCAGCACGCTTCCACTGCGAAGTAAAAAGCACGTGCACATAAAAAGTAGATTTAATACGTGTATAAAAATGTCGGGAACGGTGATTCGAGTTGAACCGCTTAACGCGGAAAACTACGATACATGGAAATTACAAATGAAAGCTATTCTCATAAAAAACGATTTATGGTCATATGTCGAAGGTACTGCGTCGTGTCCAACGGGCGAAGCGGCTGCAAAATGGATCAGCTTTGATCAGAAAGCGTGTGCTGATATAATGTTATCAGTAAGTGCATCAGAATTAAGATTAATTGCAGAATGCACAAATTCAAACGAAATGTGGATGAAACTACAAGCCACATATTCATCAAAAGGGACTGCGCGCAAGGCGACGTTGCTGAAAAAGGTTGCACTTTCGCGCATGAAGGAGGGTGAAAAGGTTAGAGAGCACCTCAACGATTTTTTTGAAGCCGTGGCAAAATTAAAGGAAATTGACGTCACCATCGGGGATGAGCTTCTGGCCATACTGCTCCTATATAGCCTACCCGACTCTTTTAATATTTTCAGGTGCGCGTTAGAAACGCGCGACGAGCTGCCAAAGCCAGACATACTTCGAGTGAAAATATTAGAAGAAGCTGAATCGCAAAGGACAAAAGAAGACAGACATAGTGATGAAAACTCTCTATACATAAATCGAAATAAAAGCCGAAACGCAAAACAAAACAAACGATACAGTGATTCTAAACGAAACAAACAATGTTTTAATTGTGGCAAAATCGGACATTTTGCACGTGAATGTAAAAATAAAGCAAAAGCTGAAAATAACACGCAAATGAAAAATTCGGAAAAATCTGTAAACAATAATTTTAGCTATCATGTTGAAGATGCATTTATTAGCTCAATAAAAGAAAATTATTGGTGCCTAGATAGTGGATGTACTGCCCATTTAAGTGCAAACCGTGAATATTTTACAGACTTTCAAAAATCGAATAAAGTGCTTAACTTAGCAAACGATAACACAACAAATATAAACGGCGTCGGTAAAATGAAAATAACTGTAGACGTAGACGGTCGTGATAATAATATTGATCTTAAAGAAGTCCTATATGTCGAAGACTTGCGTACAAGTCTACTTTCTGTATCAAAAATAGTAGACAGCGGATATGAAGTGCATTTTCGCCCTTCAGATGCAATCGTATTGGACAAATATCAGAAGGTTATAACTCGAGCGAAAAGATGTGGAAATCTTTTTATTGTTGAAAATAAAAATCATTTTGCACAAGTTGCTGAAGAAAAATGTGACATTGAAAAGTGGCACCAGAAAATGGGCCACATAAATGAAAACGATCTTAAAAAATTGGTTAGTAATAACCTAGTACACGGATTAAAATTAAATCCTAAACAAAAACTTCCGACTTGCGAAATTTGTATTAGTGAAAAACAAATACAAAAACCATTTCCTAAGAGTAAAGAAACTAGAACAAGTGACTTATTAGAGATCGTGCATAGTGATGTGTGCGGACCAATGAGAACAGCATCAAATTCGGATGCAAAATATTTCGTAACATTTATTGATGACAAATCACGCTATTGTCAAGTATATTTTATAAAACAAAAATCCGATGTATTAAATGTATTTAAGCAATACAAAAGAGCAGTAGAAACACGGGTAAACGAATTAAGGCTTTACAATCAGACAATGGTAGAGAATACGTTAATTCTGAATTTAATTTATTCTTGAGGAAATTTGGTATACAAAGACGCTTAACTGCTCCATATACGCCGGAGCAAAATGGTATTGCTGAACGTAAAAACAGAACTCTAGTTGAAATGGCCCGTTGCATGATGAAACAAGCTGAAGTTCCGCCAAATTTTTGGGCAGAGGCCATAAATACAGCGTGCTATATTCGGAATAGGTGTCCTACAAAAGCATTGAACGGTGTAGTACCGCACAAGTTGTGGACTGGTAAAATGCCAACTATTGTACATTTTCAAGTATTTGGCTCTAAAGCATATGTCCTAAAAAAGGATAAGACTAGAGATAAATTCGATTCTAAGTCAGAACCTTACATGTTTGTTGGATATTCAAACGAAGCAAAAGCCTATCGGCTATGGTCACCTACAAAACGAAATATAACAATAAGCCGTGATGTCGTGTTCGTAAACAAAAATATCTATCATAATAAATACGAAAACATTTATATTAACAATGAAAATGACTGCCAAACAAATGATTATATCGATATTGCGTTCGAAAATTCTGAAAATCAGAAACCGTCGGTCAATCCGAAAATTGTAGAAAATACAGATACGCGAGAAGAAAACTCCATTCGTAGAAGAGGTCGTCCGAGACTTATTCGCACAAATTCACGCGGTAGGCCTCGAAAAGAATATTACACGTCAAATCGGAATGGTGAAGAATCATCCAACGAAGACGAAAATACAAGTTCAGTAAGAAAAATTGCTGATAAAAACCATTCAGAGGATGAACCTGACAACAACGTTTTTGAAGATTGTGAAATGGCGTTTCTCACTACATATCAAACTCCAGTAACGATTTTGGAGGCACTTGAAAGCGATGAAACAAATTCCTGGTCAAAAGCGCTAGAAGACGAAATGGTGGCACAACTAAAGAATAAAACATGGGAAGTGGTCGAAAGACCGAAATCACGAAAAGTTATTGGGAATAGATTCGTGCTTCGAACTAAAGATGACGAAAAACAGAAAGTACGATTAGTAGCGAAGGGTTTTGCACAACGACCAGGTGAAGACTTTCATGATACGTTTTCTCCAGTCGCTCGTTCAACATCTATAAGACTACTTGCGGCACTGGCAGCAAAAATGGATTTGGAGATCCATCAGATGGATGTCATTACAGCATACCTAAATGGAGAGATCGAAGAGAGTGTCTTCATGGAAATTCCCGATTATCTTATACCATTCCTGAACAAAGTTGTTTCATCAAAACCAGTGGGAAAAACTTCAACAATATTGTGTGGAAAAGTTAAAGAAACAGCGCAGCATTGGTTAAAGGCGATTAAATCAAGTAAGTCACCTGTATGTTTATTAAAGAAAGCTCTTTATGGACTCCGTCAGTCTGGGCTATCATGGTACATGAAATTGACAAAGAAACTACAGAATATGGGTCTAAGTGCAGTACAACAGGATCCTTGTGTATTCACTAAGCGAGAAGGCAACGACATTGTTTTGATGACAATATATGTAGATGATTTACTAATAGCGTCCAATAATAAGTTTCGTATAAAAGAAATAAAGGCTGCACTTGCGAATGATTTCGAAATGAAGGATTTGGGAATAGTAAGTAATTGTCTTGGCATCGAGTTTCATCAAAATTTAAGCAAGCATCAAGTTTTTCTTTCACAAGAGAAGTATGCAAAAAGCATCATTGAAAAGTTCAATATGAAAGACTGTAAACCAGTGAAGACTCCCATAGAATTGAACATTAAGTTAACGAAACCAACAAAAATTGATGAAGGTGTTATGAAGATGTATCCCTATCAAAGCTTGATAGGAGCATTAATGTACTTAGCTGTTACAACTCGACCTGATATTGCGTTTGCTGTAAACTTTCTTAGCCAGTTCAATTCAAATTATAACGTGGAACATTGGAAAGCAGCAAAACGAATTCTAAGATACCTTAAAGGTACAAGCAACTATGGTCTATTGTATGAGAAAGACAATGAAGAATTGTATGGTTTGGTTGACGCTGATTGGGGCGCTGACTTAAAGGATAGACGTTCATATTCAGGGTATGCGTTCATTATATCAGGAGCAGCGATATGTTGGGAAGCTCGAAAGCAACGTACAGTAGCGCTTTCAAGCACTGAATCAGAATATATGGCCATATCTGAGGCCACAAAAGAAGCGTTATATCTAAAGGCAATCCTTGATGATGTTGGCATTACAAGTAAGACAATTGAAATCTTTAATGATAATCAAAGCGCTCAAAAATTAACGGAAAGCTTCAGGTATCATCCACGGACAAAGCACATTGATATTCGTTATCACTTTATTCGCAGCAAGGTTAACGACGGCACTGTTAAAATCAAATATATGCCAACAGAAGAAATGCCCGCAGACGTCCTTACCAAAGGACTCACTACAGAAAAGCATGTTAATTGCTTACGGAAATTAGGAATGAAATATTAAAGTCATATTTTATACATAATAAAAGCACTTTAAGAGGGGGTGTTGTTATGTAAAGTACTTTTTAAATATTAATTGCCTGGCAACTCTGGCCTGTTATTATTCTATATTCCTTTTGTAATTATTATTCATTATTCATTTTTAGTATAGTTAATAAAGCGAAGTAAAGAACATGTTAAAAATACATCGGACCGTGTTTCACTTTTGCTAAAAATATATAATATAAATGTTTTTGAAAACATTTAATTATTTTATACTATTACTACAAATATAGTTTATTTTTAGCACCAATATTATATAGTATGTACTACTAATAAAGCTAATAAATTAAATTAGTCAAAAATTAGTCATAAATTAGTCAAAAAACATCATTTATAGTTTCGATTATCCAAATTTCGTTTATCGCCAGTAGCTCCTTTAAGATGATTACGGACGACAGACAAAATGTCAAACGAAAATTACAATTGAAATTACGATTAGTCTGTGTGAATAGACTTCAAAGAAAAGTCAGAAATGGCTACGCATCATCTCAAAACGTTGATCGAAACTATTCTAGCACCAATATGAAAATAAATAACCTATTTAATATTAAAAAGTCTTCTATTATACCTATTAAAATCAATGGAACTGTTAAATAATTTAACAGTTATGATTTTTTTTAAATATTTTAGAGCATTAAGACGTTTTCACTGCATACCATAATTTTGTTTACCCTATAAAAATCTTCCGTGCTTTTTAACTTAAATAAAAATAAAATAAGGAAAATCAGACAAAAAATGGCGCATGTAATTCTTAAAAATAAATTTCCCTCAAGGGAAGTTACCAAAATTTTAATATGTGTAAACAAACAATAGCTGAGCGGACACATAGAGGAAATAAGTATTTAATAAAATCTCTGTTTTTATTAATTGAATATGTGATGGATATATAAAATATATATATATAAATAATTTCATATATCAATTATATATTTCAGTTTTTGCTCTCAGTCAGAAACTCTTAGAACTTTTAAACTACTTTTTGACATATAAACGCTCCTTCACATGCAATAAGTAAGTTTTGTCAATGGAACCGAAAAAATCTTAGTTATTTAAGTAACTTACTAAATAAGCATTGGAAACATGGTATTAATGTTAAGTTCAATAAATTTATATTTATTTTATTTACTGTCATTGGTCTTTAATTCCATTGTGCCTACAAAATATCTAAAAATAAAGGTGTTTTGGACATTTGAGTACACTATCTCTAGTGTAGGTAATATTTTTTAATAAAATCAGCTGTGTCTTAATTGTTTACGATACAATGAATTAATAATAATAATAATAACATAAGTTCAAGTACGTTATAGATTGTATCAAATATATTAAAGCATAAAATACTGGTATATTTGTAAGAAACTATAATTAAAAGAATAGTACCTTTATAGTAGAGATGTCACCATATATTTAATACATATACATATTAAACTGGAATCATAATATTTTAATGAGGAAACAATAACATTTTAAAATGTTGTTTATTATTTATATGTATATCATGTTTTACCAGAGTTAGAAAGTAGTTAATGATTGTTAAGCACAATCATCCATAAATAGAATTTATTTAGAAATTTCCTGTTTTGAAATAATATATTGTCACAACCATGCGTTTAAGTACATATAAAAAGGAATAGAAAATATGATTGCGAATCACATTGAATATTTCCAAAGAAGAATATACCGTCGATTCTAATGATTCATTTGGGCATATTGACCCATTGTGTAACCGTATAAGAATTCAAAGCTTTCAAATTAGCAAAGCACTTTTCAGAGTTATAGTACATTCACACTGTCTCATTTAGGCACTTGCTCAACGTTCACATAATAATGAGCTCATATATGCAGATGTTAGATCTTACTATATATAAACTTTAATAAACTTCACTTAATACACAAAAAAATGATATATATAATTGATATATTAATTAATTTATATACATTTTATATATCAAATATATATTTAATTAATAAAAACAAACATTTTATTAAATATTTGCGTTTGTTTCTTGACTCTTCGTAAAATAGAAATAAAAAATATTTTATTTCGTATGGAAATAAAATATTGATTTGTATTTAATTTTGTTTAATAGAAAATATATTAACTTCTTGTTTACTTAAGACTTAATGCAAATAAGATTATATATGATATAATTATTTTAAGTTTTATTTTATAATTTAATTTCTTATATTATGTTATTTTAACATAAATAACTTATTATAATTTATTGCATTATAGAAATACAAGTTACTGGGAGTATGTAAAATGTATGTTGCATTACATTTTTAGTATTTTTTTTAACGATGTGGTATTATTTATAAATCCAAAATATATAAAAATCTAATATAAAAGAAAAAGAAAATATTTATTTATTTGATCCTATTTGAAATTAATATATGTATGTAGATGTATAGATCGTTTAATCTTTTTCAACCACTTGGTTTCCAATTATTGGAAAATTCTCCAATTTTTGTTTTTTATTTACATTTCACAATATTTTCTATTTGTTGTTCTCTTTTGCAGTGTGACATTTGCGTGTGTATTCAGCAATACATACTCGCCAAATCAGCTCATTGCCTGACACATACTAACACACACATAGGTCACATTCAGCTCAAATTTCTGTATAATAAAGTGGCAAAAATAAAAACAAAGCTGCTTTTTTGCGTACAATAGTGCCAGGTGTGAAGTAGCAATAACAAGAAGTCCGCATTAGAGAAAAACTTATATTTTTAAAAGTTTTTGGTGTAATATTATTAACGTTAAATTAATAAAAATATTATATATATTATAATAAAAGTTTAAGCTTGTTTATATTATTTTTCGGCTAATGGGAAAAGTTGGAAGAATAAATAGAAAAAATTAAAAGAAAATAATATACACATACATACGAATCGAGTAGAACGAATAAGAACGAAGAAAAACAAAAAACGTGGTGGTGTGCTGAATTTTTACAAAACTATTTTTCTAATTTTTTGATTTAAAAATTCGCGTATTTTGTTTGTAAACATAGTGAAAAAAATGCAGTAAATTATATTTTTTATATTTATTTAATGGTAAGTTTACGCAATCAATTCGTGGAAGTAGTACATTTGATGCGGCTTTTTCACTTGCATATTATCTCAAAATAAAAAAATTTTTGGTTCAGTGCTTTGGATTTTTTATATGTTCAAAAGTTTTTCTATCGCATAGTTTTGCTCACGCACCATCACGGCGACAACATAAGCGGTTAGTTGATCGATTAAGCGGCGGTGGAGGGAGCATATAAAATCAAACGAGAAAAAAAAAAACAATAAAAATAAATAAGTTTGGAAAATATTGAAAAAATAAAACACTAGTATAATCCAAAACACGCGATAAATAAGTAAAAATTCATAAAGTAAACAAATAACATAAATACGTAAGGAAATATTACATGCAAGAAGTATTGTAAAAGATAGAGGAACACACAAATTTAAAAATAGTGGATACAAAAAAAAAGTGCCGCTTTTACAAATGGAATTCTACCCCCACCACCAACAGCAGCAACAACAACAACAACAACAACAAAGTCAGCAGCAACAATTAACGCAGCAAGTGGATTCCATGGCCACCGGCTCATCAACCACCGCAACTAATAATAGCAGCAGCAGCAATAATAACGCTAACGGCAACAATAGCAATAATATTAATAATAATCATATAAGTAGTAGCACCCCACCCACCTCAAATACAGCAGTAACTGCTGACGCGGCCACTGTAGCAATCGCTAAGGATATGCTACAGTTGCATCATGGTGGTTCGCATAATAGTAACAATAGCGATTCTTCTGAGGCCATGAATACATTAAACTCAAGGTCAACCTCCTCACCATCAATAACTGGAGTAACGACCACAACTACCCCACCTGCCCACACTTCCAATACCGGACCACCAGATAACGCACTCGGATCACTCAAGTATGAGCAAGAGTTGCTCTACATAACCGATCCGTGCACTGTTATTGGTAGAAATTCATCAACTTCTCATGTGCATTTCCATGTGGCCGAGAATAATCTTGTATCGCGCAAACACTTTCAAGTGCTATTCGATGGTGAAACACGAGACTTCTACGTACAGTGCTTGAGTAAAAATGGTATATTTGTCAATGATTTCCTTCAACGTCGCAATGTAGATCCGTTGAAACTTCCCGCAAAGTATGTACACATAAAATGCTTATATTTAAAAAATAAAATTTCATTATATATTCATATACTATTTATTTTAGTTGTTATTTCCGTTTCCCGAGTACCGAAATTCGCATACAATTCGATAATTTTGTGTACACTGGCTTAAGTAATATTAACAGTTCAGCTGGCAATGCCACCAATGAAAATTCCCATAAAAACCATGGACCACATGCCGCTGGCTTACATGGCAACAAAAATTTAGGAAATAATAGCAGTGGAGCTGGGAGTGCGCACGTAATTATATCACCTGCACCACCGGATGAACATCAAATTGTACACCCGCAACATCATCTACAAAATACAACCGCGATAGGAGGAGGTTCAACCTCATCAACAGCGGGCACATCGCATTTAGTACCTATGGACAGTTCAAATGTGATCTATTCGCCGTTAAAAATTTCAATTCCCAAAAAGGAGCAAAAGAGCCCGTATTTGTCACCAACTGGCAAGTCGAAAATTTTATTTATTATATATTCGTTTTTGTTGTTGTTTTTGTTTCTGTTTTTTTTTCTTATAAGATTTTTTATAACTCAATTAGAAAAGGTTTTGATTCTGATTTTGATTTTTGTTTATGTTATTCGAATTTATGCATTAGTATGCATTATTTTCAGTTATTCACAAATTTCAGTAAGAAGAAATGCAACGTCAATATTTATATTCACAATGTATGTATGTATATGTGTATGTTCCGACGTTGGTTTGCCTGAATTTGAATTTAGCTTGAATTTGAATGTAAACTGTCATCGTATCGCATACAGTCAGGCCAAACCATATTTTCTCTGAAATGGAGACAAGTGAAATAAACATTCCTTGCTAGCTAGTAGCTAGCTTAAAGCGTGTACAGTACAGTAGACAAAGTGGTCTTATGAGGCAAAGTGGTGATTGCTTTCTACTATTTCCATCATATATGAATTAATTAATTCGTAGACGATAAAAGGAAGTAAACAAACAATTTGTTTATTAAATGCAATAGTATCTGTTCTGTTCTGTTCTTCTGTTCTATATTTGTTTATTTGAAACTCAAAACATATTTTACGACATTTGTAAAACACAATTTTGTATTATTTTTTTTTTTTTAGATATTTGTCGTTATTGTTTTATTTGCCATAAAGCGTGATTTCTTATGAAACCCATTAATTATTAAAATAATGCGCAATATTGAACTGATTATTCAATCCACAATTTTAAGATTAACACGAAGAGACGGTAGAGCAATTGATTATATGCTAACTATTCTGGCAATCTATAGAATTGAAAATTTTATCAATTTTATTTATTAATTAAATAAAATAGGTTTTATAAGGATTACATTAGAGTAAGAATAATATTTGACAGTGTTCCAAAACAACAACTGTATAGCTTAATTAAAAATAAATTATTTTAGTTAATATGCTCTACTAAGAACTACTTTTCTGTCAGAAATAGTGATTTTAATTTTATTAGGTAAGGCTGGAGTGGCGACTTTGGGCCCAAAGCCCACCTGCGGTTAAATAATAGTCCACTATAAACTACTTCTTCGTCAGAAATAGTGACTTTAATTTTATTAGGTTAGGCTGGAGTGGCGGCCTACTTCTTTTCCGTTAGAAATAGTGATTTTAATTTTATTAGGTTAGGCTGGAGTGGCGACTTTGGGCCCAAAGCTCACCTGCGCTTAAATAATGGTCCACTATAAACTACTTCTTCGTCAGAAATAGTGACTTTAATTTTATTAGGTTAGGCTAGAGTGGCGGCCTTGTGCTCAAAGCCGACTTGGTCCATTGCGTAATTATATAAAAACATATACAGTCAAACTTCCATAATTCGAAGTAACATTTAGCAAAGAAATGGTTCGACTTAAGGAGACTTCGAATTAAAGAATTTTTTTGTAATTGTATGTAATTTGCTCTCTAAACCCTATTGCACTCTATTTAGTTTAATTTATAGAAAATTCGAGTTAGAGAAGTTCGTGTTATGGAAGTTTGACTGTATATTTTCTAATCACACAAGAAGCGTAACTTATAGAATTTATTATTCACATAATAACGAATACGTAATAGCTTGTTTAAAGTCTATAAAAAAACTTTTCAATATATAAAAAGTTTATATAAAATATTTTATTAATATTATTCATGTTTGTGACTTAATACTAAAATTAATTTTAAAGTTAACTGAGAATAAGGAACTGGACTATTAAGATCTTCGTCCTATAAAATATTTAATTGTGGATTAGTACTATATTGTATCGAAATACCATTTGAAGTATTAAGAAAATATGTACAAAATTCTTACAAAAGAACAAAGATCTATTGGTGAGAAAGAATCAAATTTAATAGAAATTAGAAATTATTTGTATACCTAAGAACTTAGTATTTCTACAAAAAGTTTCCAGTAGTTCCTATTCCGTGCCATATATTTAAGCTCATTAAACGATTTGGATGTTGCTGTGAATACTGTTCGCCTCCATATTGTCTTTTGTCGTTCCCTTCTTTTTCTTCTTATTGTTGTAACCCGTTGAGACCTGCTTGTGAAGACTTTTTGGGATGTGTAATATGACATTTGGTCATCGCTGACGACAACTGACTTCGAGACGTAGACCGACCCGGTCTTTCTTGAAACCTTCTCTTCTCCTTGATCCAGTCGGGTTCCATTCTAAGTCTGAAAGAGCTATACTGCACGTATCTTTGTTTGGTAATCTCTAAAAGTCTGGCATTAGTGATTGTACGTGACCAAAAAATTCATATAATGCGCTGTAAACATCAGCTTGAAAATGTTTGCATTTTGTTAATGATGTTGTTTTTTATATGCCGTGCTTCACAGGCGTACAATAAGATAGTCTTTACAAATGTGTTGAAAATTTTTATTTTAGTTGCCTAAACTCTAATTAATAAGCATAGGCACGCTTCACTTTTTGAAGGCGATTAGATACATCTAACAGACTGCCATCCTCGGGGTTAGATTCACTTAGTATTAAAAGTTAAATTCTTGAAATAAAATATTTTTAGTCTATAGTAAACCGCATCTACACAATATATTTATTTACGAGATAAAATCTCAGCCACTAGACAGTACAGTAGATATGCTGCCATTAATTCTACATGATTATGATTAATAATGCATAATTCGTTATATATGATTTAATTAAAATTCCAATAAAAAGTGGAAATATGATACCAAATCTCTCGCCTAATATCTAATATACTCCACAAAATTCATGTAAAACACTTTATCCTTCTATATAATGAATTACAGAAATAATGTACGTAAGTAGTTAATTAAAATATCAATAAAGACATAAACATAAACGATTTTGCAATTTTTGGTGCTGTTAACTGGCATTTATTTAATTTTTTTCCCAATGCACTAAACAAATTTTGCGCGCATTTTTATTATTTTAATGAGTATTTTGATAAATTATATTAAGAATTTTTTTTTTTGTTTAAAAAAAAACTGCGAATCAAAATGTGTTACATACATTATTAGAGCTACAAGTATTACTTCAGCTATTGAAAATTTCTAGTATATTGATGGTCCAGTATACTTGTGCTCAAATACAGAGAACCACTCCATAATACCATATGGTGTTTTCGAGAATTTTGTATTACACAAATAATATTATATTAAACATTATATAAAGGAGGTTTCCTTTTCGAACATATAAAATGTTTCCTCCTTTCGTGTTTTCTACTCATGGAAATGTTTAAATTCGTGCATACTCGAGCTGTTCGAGCATTTTGGAGTGCTAACGTACACTGACTAAACAATTTAAATCTGAATCTATTACCAGTCTATAATCTAACTCTATTAAAACAAAGAGAAGAAGTTAACGTCCCAATACTACTTCGCCATAATATTAAAGGAACACTTAATTTAAAAAAAAAAAGGAATTACTGAAGCTGACTCTTTTTTGGTTAGATATTTATATATCTTTCACTTAACATGTGTAGCTTTCGATGTTATACTGTCTAGTTTTTTTTTCCTGTTTTCTATTGGTTTTATTTTTTCCGATCAGATACAACGGCTTTCCGCTCAAACATACTTATTTTGTTAGTTAACTATTTCCCATCATTTATCCATTGTTTCTCTTTTGTGTTGTAAGTTGTAAGTTCTCTAGACATAAACTGAAAATAGGATTGTTTTTTAAGTTTGTTTTGTAAGGAGTGTGCTAGCACTTGTTCATTTGAAAATAACATACTTATAGCTCTGTAAAGTAGACCCGATCGTCCTTGCAGCCATTATCAATCCATTTCTTTCCTGTTAACATATTGTTTAATATGTATTTATTTATATATATACATATATTTTTAAATATTGATTTATACTAATTTAGCAAATTTTTTATGATTTTCTTTTAGGTACGATAAGTGCAGCAAACAGTTGTCCAGCAAGTCCGCGTCAAAGTTTTCATCAAAACCAAAACAATTACAACAATTATGCAAACAACAATTTACAAAACGTAAATCCAACAACAACTTTTATACATTTTAACATAAATAATAATGTTTATTAATTTTAGCAGGATTTATTCCAAACACCTTCAACTGCTAGTTACAACCACAATGAGAAGCCACCTTACAGCTATGCTCAATTAATAGTACAAGCTATATCTGCTGCACCAGATAAGCAATTAACGCTATCGGGCATTTATTCATTTATTGTGAAACATTATCCATACTACCGAAAGGAGACTAACAAGGGTTGGCAAAATTCCATACGTCATAATCTCAGTTTAAATAGGTAAGTACTGTATTAAAAATTTAACAATTAAAAAATTCTAATAGTAAAAAAATATTCTTTTAATATAAGTGTTTATATAATTGAAGCTTTTAATTTAGGAAGAGATTGACCCATTGTTCTTTAGTAACTTATTTAAAAGTTTTAAATAAATTGATCTTTCCGAGGACGAATAGATCAAACAATTCAATACAATACTCATCTGCCAACACAATGTCGTTGTTGCTAATCTAATCGGTAGATCACTTTATATTAGGAAACATGAAGAAAATTTAAATACGAATATATGGGTTAGACTATGATTAGATGAGAGTAAAGTGAAAAGAGGAAGGGATGTTTGGGATAAGGGGGTTGAATAAGAGCTGGATGGGTTTTAATTAAAACTAGCCAGGGTCGTGGTGTAGAAGTTTATGTAATTTAATAGATTGGAGCCAAAT